AAAGGTATAGAAAACCAGATCTATGAGACATCACCGTGGTTAACCAACCCTTCAGATATCTGCTCTTTGGCTTTAGGTTGTCTTAATCACCAGAAAGATTGTGTTACCGATATGATTGATACCAGGCTTGCTGAAGAAACAATCTTGACAATACATTTATGAAATCTGGAGTTTTAGATCGCCATCTTAAAATCACAAGGTACTACATATTGCCATTATTTGCAGCATTTAAGCATGGACATCATACAGATTTAATGCTCTTAGCAGCATGTTTTCTATCCTAGCATATTCTTCCATATCCTATTTTCCTCTCAGGCAGCTGTAGTGAGTTGGAGTTGTACCAAAAGATGTTGGAAGCCAAAGTATGCTTCTAAGGCCAAGGAAAGTGCAGATGAGGTCACCCTGAGAAGTTGGCTCTGCCAGCAAAAAAAATACCCACAAATACACAGCAACCAAGATTTTAAGAACCAAGTCCAGAAGCCCAGTGGTAAAATACCACCAATATTCTGAACAAAAGCAACTTAAAACAAACTAATATATGATTACAGACCCATGGTGGTGGTGTCTGTACTGAGGTGGTTTGAGGTAAAGGCAGGACTTCAGTTAGACAAGTATGGGAAATATTACTACTACAGTGTATCAGTGTGTGTGTTCTGAATACAGCATAATGCTGTGAAATCTCTTCTGATGTTCCAGGCACAAGCCATGACCATACATTCCTACCCTCTTTATCTCCTTCCTCTGACACACATTCTCATTCAGAAGATTCATGGAAAAACTGCCATTTCCAGATAATTCAGGGACAGATGCCAGTTACCAAGACTCATCTGTGGAGGACTGTGCTGAGAAAAAGAAAGAAGCTGGCAATGAGTGCTGCAAATTACTTAGTTAGCAGTCAAGTTGCAAGGCGTGAAAGAAAATACTTGGAAATTAATGTCAAATGGGAAAAAAGTGGGGGGAGGCTCTCCACAGTTATTGTAATTTGTTTTCTATCAGCTTGTGTTTTAAGTTTGTAATAAAAATAAATATGGTTTTTACTCTATTGCTGTGCTCTCAGGGCCACTGTCAAGAATAAGAGAGTAAATATGCTTGTTTGTGGAACCTATGCAAACTGATCAGAAAGGAAGAAAAAACACTCTTCTCCTTTTTCCATCATACAGTAAATGCTTACCCCAGTGGCTGTCAGATGGAGTGGATAATCTCAGTCAGTTTTTGTAGATTAGATTATTTGACAATGTCCAGTAAACTCTCTCTCCTACAGGTCTTTTTTTATTGCCTGGTGCATGCATGAGATCTGTTGACACCGAATAAGAACATTTCCTCTTTTTGTGGCACTTCAGGGATGTGGTGGCTGCTCTGTGTACTGTTTACTCAATGGCAGTCTTTTGAATGTTCAGTTTTACACAGTGGTTATCCAAAGGAAAGGTTGATAGCCTACATGGTTGAAATATACATGACCACAGTAATATTGTTAGGGGAAATGCTATCAGAAAAAAGGAAGTGATTACCACTGAAGGGCAAAGTAGCACAGAAAGTATGGACACAATCAGTCGGTACAATAATCCTGGCAGAGAGTCTCTGTTGACTAAATAATGTTAAAGTTCTAGGTGCCATAAGGTACAACTTTAATGTGGCCTGTAACATGTTATAGATGTAATGCATGTATGTACTGGCTGTGTAAGATGCTGTAAGCCCATCTTTGCATTAATTAATAGTTTTGTTTCTTGTTTTATATTATGTGCAGACCTTTCTGTATTCTGTCATCTTCCGTGGACCAACTGCTTCTGTATACTTTGCTTGCATCCAGTCTGCACTTCCGTTTTGATGTGGGGTCGGGGAGGTAGACTGGCAGATATTAACTACTTCAGAATCCATTCTAGTTCTCCTGTGTGAACTAGGCAAAAGGCACAGGCCAGGGGTTTGGCCTGCAGAGCCATTTTATTCATCTCATGGAGACAGAGGGGCTTTGGCAGTGTTTCTGAAGCAGGGAGAGGGTGGCAGGGAAAGAAACTTCACCTGTACAGTGCAACTATGTTTAGGGGACTTGGGAGAAACAGTGGCTTGAGCTCTGGCTTTGGCTGTGGCAGTATTACAGACCAGGTTGGAAGTGGTTTATGATGAGCTAGGCTCCATTAAAGCAGTCCCTGTTGCAAAAGGTATTGCAGACTCCTGCCTTAGGCAAAAGAAAATAAAACTTGTTTTATTTATTGTTTTAAGAGACTGCCAACTTTTTGCTCAGCTTTTAAAAATACTGCCAAGGCAATGCCAAATAAGCTATGGTTTAAAGTGTCAATGTGAAAAAGCCACTCTTTACTTGGCATGTGTGTTCCTTGTAGATTAAGTCATATCTTTGTCTTCCTCTGCCTGCCTATCTGATAAATCATGGGATAGTTCAATAGATTTCTCTGGGTTACACATCAACAAAAGTGTTGCTAAGATTCTAGTGGCAGTCTTCACATCTGTACAGAGGTATATGCCTGAATAACATCTGTGAGGTCAGGAATACAGGTAGTGATATCTGAGCTGACAAGAATAAGATTGACTTAAGGTGACTTTAAGAATGTAGGTCTGGGAGCTAGAAATACTACTTCTATTTCAAATGGATTGCATTTGTTATACAGTCACTGGCTGCATCTATAGTGACAAAATTAAGTTATTTTCTAATCCATTTATGTCATTGATGGCAAGTGCTCTCGTAGCAGCAGTGTTTTAGACATTTTCCTTTTTTGGGATTTTTGCCACTTTCAGCCTGTGCTTTGTTTTGGGACCAAGCTTCTGAAAAACAAGCTTAAGTAATAACCAGATCATTGGTGCGCTAATGCAGTGCTTAAATCTTCTGTAGTAATATTGGAAAAAAAAGAAAACAAAAATCTTTAATTGTTTAGCAAATTGTGGCATACACTAATTTTAAAGTCTTTCCTTTACAGTTTCCAGAGTGTGGTTTCTTTGGCATGTATGACAAAATTCTGCTCTTTCGCCATGACCTGAACTCGGAAAATATTTTGCAGCGGATTACATCAGCAGAAGAGATACATGAAGGAGACCTTGTTGAGGTAGTCCTCTCTGGTAAGCTTCTGAATCGATATCAGACAGTGCATGGAACATTTTATTGGAAACATTTTTAAGATAATCTTGTGAAACAAAGATTTGTAAGTGGTAGGAAGTGTGACTTTCTACACTTGGGGCTAACAAGGACTTTAGCTGTAAAATGGGAGTATATAGATTGGAGACAACTGAGAAGGAGAGAGATCTGAGTGTAATGGTCTGTTGTGGGATGACCACAACCTACCTACCAAAATGATGTAGCTGGGAAATAAGCTAACACTATTCTACTATATATTAGGCTGAGATGTATTCCGTAGAGACTTGTAGAGTCTATACCAGGGGTCAGCAACCCCTGGCATGTGTGCTGAGCACGGTATCCAAGGCCATTTTGCTCAGCACGCCACCACCAGCTTGCTGCTCTAGGCAGCTGCTGCCAGCCATGAAGCCCAGGCTGCTCCCAGCAGGTGGCTGCGTGGCTGCATGTCCTGCTGCAAGTATACAGGGCTCCGTGGTTGGCAGCAGCTACCCAGAGCCTGGGCTGGCTGCAGCCAGGAGGCTGCAAATGTCTGCTCTCGGCTCCGGTATTAGCTCTATACTGGCAGGTGCATGTGTGTGTTGGAGTAGACGGTGGGGGAGGGGCCTGAGGCAGTGCAATCCCGGCTTCTCTCCTGCTGCTGGCACAGAGCTGATGACTGGGCTCCGGAGCCTGGTGCAGCTTTTTGTAGCCAGCCTGGGCTCTGGGCAGGTGCAGCGGGCAGGCTGCAAACAGCTGCGCCAGGCTCCACAGGCCTGGCATCAGCTCCATGCTGGCGGCAACTGCATGTGCACCTCAGAGTGGACAGCGGGAGGGCTGTGCTGCCTGAGGCCCTATCCCCACTGTCTGCTTTGAGGTGCGCGTGCACCTGCTGGTATGGAGCTGATGCTGGAGCCTGGAGCAGCTGTTTGTAGCCTCCTGGCTGCCACTGGCCCAGACTCTGGTAGCTGCTGCCAACCACAGAGCCCAGGGCTTGCAGCTGAGCCTGCCTGACTCCCACCTGCTCTGAGCCCAGCCCCACCACTGGGATGAGGCTGACACTGCTCCTTGCCAGGAGCACCGCACCTTTTGCAGGCTTAGCTGTGCGGGGTGGGTGGTTGGGCTGATGGGCAGGCTCTGGGGAAGCACCGCAGCCTGGGGGCTGGCTCCCTGGGGAAGCACAGGGGCTCTGGTGGGACCAGGGCATTGTTGGGTTGGACTTTGTCTGGTGGCCCAGGAGCCCAGCTCCATGTGCCCATGCAGCTGGTTCTGTGTGTTTGTCTGCCTCTGTCTGGTTCTGTGTGTCTGTGTGCCCATACATGTCTGTTCTGAGTGTGTTCTGGTTCTCTGTGTTTGTGCACGTGGTTCTCTGTGTGCGTGTCTGGTTTTCTCTCTGCTCTCTCTCTCTCCTCTCATTGCAACATGCTCAACAAAAAAGGAATACACAACAACAAAGGCAACATTTATGATTATTAAATATACTAATATGCAGTGCATCTTGCCATGTACTCAACCCCCCCCCCTCCATTTTGTTTTTCCGGCATGCCAGCACTCTGGCACCTTCCAAGGTAGACGTAGTTTTTTTCAGCACTCTGGCCAAAAAACGTTGCCTACCCCTGGTTTATACAAAGTAAGGTATTGTTATGACCTCATTTAGGATGCAGTGTACAGTTCTAGTAAGGGTTGTTCAAAAAAGATTAACTTAAACTGGAATGGGTACAGAGAGAGCCACTGAAGTGGTTAAGGGAAAGATAACAGGAGTTGTTTAGTTTAACAGAACAGATTGAGAATCCATAGGATTACTTTTTACAAATATACTTCTGGGGCAGGTATTAGGAAGAAGTAGTATTTAGGCTAAAAACAATGCCTGTATAAGATCAAAGGGCTGCAAAAAGGCTTTGAAAAAAGAGAGATTTGAAAATTAAAAGACTTCTAACTTCAGAAGAGTGGCATTTTGGAATGGTCTTCCAAGCACATTAGTTGGGTCAAAGGTTATGAATTGTTTTTAAGTTCAAACTTGATTAAGTATGTGGAAGGGGTGGCATGACAGGATAGGGAGTTTGTGTTAGTTTGTTAGCTGGTGTGATATGTGGAATCTGATATTTGCAATTCTGACATTTGGGGCATAGAAGTCACTTTTTCAGTATGACAGCTGCTGGGCAATGCCGTGTTCCAGGACTTTTGCTGGTTGCCTGCAGGGGGCAAAAGATCCCCCCCCCCCC